TTAGTGACAGAATGTGAAATGAGTATAGGTAAAAATGTTGGAGTAGCTCAAGTGGTAGATAAGATTGAAGAGAACCACCTTAGATGGTTTGGACATATGAAACATCGCCCTTCCGATGTCTCGGTCAGCAAAGTAGACGTCTTAGATTTAGCCCATCTTAAAAAATGAAGAGGTAGACCTAAAAAGACTTGGTTCAAAAATATTAGAAATAACATGTTCTTATTAGATTTAAATGATAATTTGATTCTAAATGATACACAATAGAGAAAAAATGATTAATATAGCCAATCCCACGCTGTGGGATAAAGCTTGATTTTGTTGTTGCTGTAATGAAGTTATTCATATAAAGCTTCATAATCATCCTCAAAAATGGTAAAACTAACACTAGAGCATCATAGTTCCAGAAGTACAATTGGAATAAGCACAAACCTTTCCACCATCCAAGCAAAGTTCAGCAAAATAACTAAAAATGCAGCAAAAGAGAAGAGATAAAGCAACATCACTTTAAGAAGCCAACAACAGAAAAGTCAGCCTTGATCACAATAAATCAACTTTCAATAGAACAATCAGTATGAATAAACTTCCAGCACTAAGCTACTGGAGCAAATGAAGTGGAGATGAAGCAAAACCACAAAAGGATTTAGGCCAAGGGAATAACAAAGCTAAAGCAACTAATACAAAGTCTAATCCGATAAATCTTTTAATGAAACCTACTGAGACTCTGATCCAATGCAAATCAGTCCTTGGGAAACAAATCAACTAAAAAGAACAGTCACAACTAGGGGTGTAATAAAGTTAAGCTTAGTTGTGAGACGACTCAGGCTTAGCTTGATAAGCGGTTCATCAGCTGAGCTTAACGAGCTAATGAGTCAAATTTGAGAGAGTTCTAATCACTTGTTAGCTTGTGAGCTTCCTTGATTAAAAAAATATTAATATAAAACACATTCAAAATATATTTGATTCAAAACTTTAAGTAGAAAATTGATAAAAATATTTGAAATTATTTTTCCTTAAATCAAATAATTACTTAGTATTTTCTTCTAGTTTTTAATTATTATTATTATCATTTAATTATAATAATGGTTTTAAGCAAAATCATTCTCTCTTTCATAATAAATGAACCGGCTCAAACCAAGCTAAGCACATAAACTTAACTTCAAGCTCTTACTGAATTCCGTGATGACTCAACCTTAACCCGACTCGTTCACACCCCTCAAAACAGCTTGAATAAACACCAATCCTTTACAAATAGAAACTGAAATTTCTACCAAGAAAGGTGAACTGATGAACCAGACAGAAAGCTCAAATAAAATAGCCATCATAGGAATATCAAAGCAGCTTTAAACAAAAAATATCTATCTATGAACTCTAGCATCCATAATAAGTTAATTTCTAAAGCAGTCCAATGATCTAAAGAGAATACAGTGTAATTTAATGAGAAGTTAAAACACCAAATAAAAGAAATTTTGAAAACTTCCATTGGTGATAAAAACGACAGACATATATGTTGGATCTGAATTTGTTCGTCTATGAGATTAGACATATATATTGGATCTGAATTTTGGAAATTTCCATTGGCAATGGCAACTTCTGCATGAAATTCAAACTTTATTCTCTATACACATGGGCGGAACCGGCCTTGATTCTTAGGGGGGGGGGGGGCGTGTTTTTTGGGGGGGGGGGGGGCAAATTTATAAATAATATCTCTAAATAATGTGTTTAATTTTGCTAAGGGGCAACCACCTAAAGATAATATTATTTTAATTTTTTTAGGGGGGCGATTGCCTAAAAACTCCTATAATAAAGAGTAAAAAAAGGATGAAGGGGAACAAATTATCTAAATATCCATAGAATAAACAATTTTTTAATTTTTTTAGGAGGGGCAATTTCCCCCTGGGGGCTAGGTGGTTCCGCCCCTGTCTATACATATATAAATACTCTCAAAGCTGTATCCTACATTGTAGTAACTTTTTTACTGTGCTGTAATACTTCCTTCTATCAATTTCCATAGTTTTTTGCTTCTCTGTTTTGCTCTATTTTCAGCTACAAGTATTGAGTTCTTTCATGATATTAGAGCCACCAGCTTAGCAGCTTTTCTTTTCCTCTGATATTTCATGGTCAATTCTTCTACCTTCTCAACTACCACTCCAGCTTCCCAGCAAATAGTTCTATTTAACAACTAAAACCTCCATACCCTCACTCAAATTCCTTATGTCCAACCTCATGCATATATTTCATATCCAAACATTGGAAACTCCTTCAATGCATTCCAAACATCATTTAAGATATGTTAAAACTAAACCCAAACTCTTGTCAACCTTGGTTGACCAAGTTAACCATGATTAACCCAAAAGCCCCTTAAGCCATTCAATCCATATTTTGAACTTAGAAACCTCCTCTTTGCATGAGACCTGTTACAATAAGTTTGAAATGTATTTGAAAGTGAATGAGCCTAATCTCAAGCCTTGGTCAATTGTGGTTGACCAAGCTAAGCATAGTTAACCAAATAGCCCTTGGAGGTTCAAACATATATTTTGATCCACATGACCTTCTCATTGCATGGGACCACCTCTATTAAGCTTAAAATATTAATTCAAACTTGTTGGACTTAACCACAACCTGTGGTCAAACTTGGTTGACCAAATAAACCATACACTTAATCTAGTTTGAGCCCATTAACCAAGGCTTGACCAAACAATTTGAGGCCTTGGGATGGCTTATTGGGTCCTTAAGAACATCCAATAAGTGACTCAACCCTTGGGTTCACTTGGGTTAGCCATATGGCTTGACCCAAGTACCCAAAGAGGCTTCACTTGAGCCAAACCTCAAGCTAAGTCCAATCAAACCAAACCAACACTTGCACTATGTCTCCCATGACTCAATGCACCTACCCTAAGTTGCCCACGGTCCACATGGGCTAGAAGTTAGACTTACCCAAAGAGATCAAAACCACTTTGGGTTGAGTCAATTCCCAACCTAGTCTCCACTAAGCCCAAATCGCTCTTGCATTGAGTAGCCCTGACTCTTATGCATCTTCCATGGTCAGCCCAGCCCCTGGCTTGACCTAAGTCTAGGCCTAAGCTAACCCAAACTTCCCCAAATATATCTAACCCAAGACATCTTCCATGATTAGATATGATCATGCCCAATTGAGTTCAACAGACCTGTAGACACCATTCCAGCTCAGCTAAACCTGACTGGTGGCTAGCGGTGGCCGAAGCTGGTGAAATTGACTTCAACTGGTCCCTCTTCACATGAGCTGAACCAAGGGCTTTTCAGGCACTTTTTCATCTGATGAGCTCAAGGAACGTTCCTTGAGTTGTTGATCTATCCAATCAATCCAAACTCTATGGATGAGGTCTAAATAGGGCATCCCAACCCAGACGACCTCATTCGATTACAACCTTTTGAAATCATTCCCCAAAGCTACATGAAGCTTCACTTAGCTTCCCCAGTTGTCTAATGATCTCCAGAAAAAAATTTGAGTGAGCTTCGATGAAATTCTTTTGCTTATGCTCGAAGTCTTATCTCTAGTACTCTTCTCATCATGGTCCCTAAAGAAGAAAGCTTCCCCGCTGTCAGATGAACATTCCTGAACACAGGCGATGGCACTTAAAGCTCTCTATGAGGTAATATCCTAATTATGAGCTCCCTAGTTAGGTAGTTCAAGCAAGTGTGAAAAAACCTTCAAACCAACAAACTTTGAACGCTTGATTGAAGGTTTCTAACCCCTTGTTGCTCTACATAAAGTTTGATGCAATTTTGCTGGTGGGTTCTCTCGGATCACGCTGAAAAAGCCTTATGGTTGGAGATACGAGTAGAAGGTAGAAAATAAAATCAAGGCCATTAGTTTTAAGCAATGGCTCTAATCCCATCATTTCACGCTCCTTGCTACCCTCATGCTATTTCAAGCCTTTTAAAAAAAAAAATCTCATCGTTGATCTGATGGAATAAATCAATCCCATATGAAATGGTTAGTATGCCAATGATTTGGCTGCCCAATCATATTGTGCTACATGTTAAAGCGCACTGATTGTGTAAATGGGGTATTTAAAAATTCAAAAAAATATCAAAACTTCTAAAAATCATAACTTCTCACACACTTATCAATTAAGGTGCACTTAGGCTCATTGGAAAGTTCTTGAGAAGACCTACAAAATCCCTATGACTAAAAGCCATGACTCTGTGTGAAATTAAAGTTATTCCAATAATACTCCTATGGGATTTTTTTGCAAGTTTTTACATAAATTAACTCATCATTACTTGTGATTGTG